CCCTACAAATCTGCCTCTCCCTCCAACACCCCCATTTCAGTAAACAGCAACTCCATTGTTCCAATTACTTAGGCCAAAAACCTGGGAGTCCTCTTAGACTTTTTCTCTAACACTTCACATCTTAACTATCCACTAGCAAATCCTGTCGGCAATACCTTCAAAACATACCCAGAATCCAAAACCATCTTCCTATCATCCTTGTCCAGAATCTCTCCTGGAACTTTGTAATCGCTTCCTAACTGTCCTCCCTGCTTTTATCCTTGATTTTCTGAGGTCTGTTCTTAACACAACAGCCAGAATTGTCCTTTCTCATTTGTTGTGGTTATGTCACTTAAATCTCTCCATCTTATATGACAACTTCCCTCCCTGCCTTTTTTCTCTTCACGCTACCAATTTGTTAGAGAAACCAGGTCATGTACGCTATAAACTGTCCCACGTTTTAGATTTGTCCGATTGTCTCCTCCAGATGTCTCTAACTTGTCCCTCTGATCCCTGTATTTCCCATGAACTGATAATCAGATTCATGTTTGGCTAGGTGGGAGTCATGTTCAAATTTTAGGCAAGAACATGTCTCAAGTGCTGCTGGGTACTTCCTGTTACATCACATTGTGGTTGGCTGCCATAGTTTTAGCAATGCCAAGACTGTTCTAGTGGCTTCAGATGGCATTAATCTGATTCCTCCCTTATATTTCCCTGTTGTCTTTCCTCTGGGTGATTGCTGCCTAGATCCATTTTCTCACTGGGGTGGCAATTTTAAAATTCTAATACTCCTGTGTTTATTAACTGAAATTCTATAAAGAAGTCTTACTCTCTCATTAACCCTCTCATTTTTCAAAGATTAGTTTGTATAGGAAAGGCAGGATAAATGCTTGACTTTGGCCTTCATTAATTTCCAAAGAATTGAATTAATGCTCTAACAACCCAAAATTGTGACCAATGAGCTTTTTTTCTCATTATGAATGCATGAATTTTTACATATTTGATATGTTTTCAATCCACAGCAGTCATTATTCTTTTTGATGCTCAAATTGTTCTATCTTAAGCCTAGGTAAGTCTTTCTGACACAACCCCATTAACCTCTGTTAATTTCCTCATACTCCTGCACACTATCTCCTAGGCTTATGATGTCTATTTCCTGCTCTATAGCTGGAATCAGCCATTTCTCCAAAAAGCCTCAGTTCCCTTTAGTGGGAAACAGAAGAGACCACAACTTGGGCACTGGGGATGCTAGAAGCAGTGCCAGTAATAAAGAATTTAAGTCTTTTCAGTAAATAAGAGTTAGAAATTCACTATTTTAGGGGAAAAAAAATCATGAGTCCATACTGATACTGACATTTCCAGTTTCAGATAACAGGGCTTTTGTTTAATTTCTGATTTTGTACCTGTAATCTTTCCTTTTACATTGAAAATCATGCTTCCTAATGACACAGCCATAGTTATTTGCTTTATCTTACAATGTAGCTGTAACAGATTCAACCCAACAATCCAAACCTGCTACTTACAATAAGACCACTAAATGCAATTTTAGATTTCTTAGTAGTTCTTTGTGTCCTTAGAACACATCCCACTCAGGATGAACAGCCAAAATATTGTATTTTAAAGTAATTATTTTCTCTCTGTAGTCATTGCTACAAACTTGATATGTTTGCTTCAGCGTGTTCTAAAATCCTAGGGATTGGTTCTTTTCCTTTTTGATTAATTTTTTGTTTTTAATTATATCAAATATTTACATGGTTCCAAAGTTAAACCTATGTAACAAAGTAAATTCACAGAAGTACTTTGTTCCCTCCCTTCCCCCACAGGTAACCACTTTTCCTTAGTTTTTGGTTTATTTTTCCATTGTTTCTTCTTGAAAATAGAACACACACACACACACACACACACACACACACACACACACACACACACACACACACACACACACACACACAC